AATATAAAAACAAAATATATATTGTGTGTTTGAGTGGTCCAGACGCTACATACTGCAATTATTTATATATGTCAAATAGTTTATAATTATGATGTATGTTTTTTTTAAATGAACACAGTAATATTGTACAGAAAGGCCAAGAAGAAGAGTGCATAATTGACTAAACTGCTTTTAACAGAGTTAAATGATTGCTCAATTTGGGATTGTAGAATTTCCAAAAGTATAATTCACAAGTTTTCACATAAATTTAATTAGAGAAGAAATGGATATGTTCTTAAATTTGTTTTTTTTTGTCATATTCTTGGTACAGATTTGCCATTTAGCGCTAATTACTTACAATTTATTTACAAAAAAATATTTGTACTTATTGGAACTATTTTTGGAAAAAAAAAAATATATATATATATATATACAGTATATACACATACACACACACACACACATACAGTATATATATATAATTTTTTTAATGAAAAAATTATAATGCATACCAGCTGGTACAGTAACAAGCAACGTATCTTTCTGTAGTCATACCTCCAATAAAGTTGGTCTCTATATAATCAATGATTTGGTTGTAGTCGCTGACGATCGTGTCTCCGTGGATGAAAACCGGCACTTCCTCCCCTAGGTTGAGCCTCATGAACCAAGGCTCCTTGTGCTCAGTGAGAGGCAGACTGACATCCCGTTCTTCACACAGCAACCCTTTCTCATTGATCACCAGACGCACCTGCCACAAAACACACACAACATCATCATGACATCATACTACCTCACGACTCTGAGAGCTTTAGGATTTTGGGCAAGGGTTATTATAGTTAACTAAAACTCAGCGCATTGGCCCTCCAGGGCAAGATTTGAGGAACCCTGCTCTAAGCAGTAATAACCAATGGGTCATTCATTTTTTTCTCTCTCAATATCTCAATATTTTTTCTCTTAAAATGCCTGTTTGTATACATACTCACTATCCAAGGTCTACTGCAGTAACTATAGCAACTATACATATACGTAGTAACTATAAATACAACATAAAAACATAGGAGATTTTGTATGCTGAGCTCTGACACTTTGGCATTCAGCTAAACAACACAATGTGTTTCGAATAGTCACTTAAAAAGAATATCTGTTTGCTTTATGTCTTGATGGACAAGAGGAATGCAGCTAGTTTTCTTTCAGTTTTGGTTACAAGTAGCATTAAAGATACAATCCTGCCTGATACTACAAATCCAGATTGATCGATCAAGATAAAACAAGGCTCTGACTGATGAGTGACAAGAGCATCAGCCAGCAGCTTGAGCAAAGCCTAATGAATGTCAGGCTGTGTTCAGCTTTGACTGTGCTGAGGTGTTGCAAAGCCAATAGACATATTTGATAAGGCACTTTACAACAACAGCGTGATGTCTGGATTCGACCAGACACATAATAATCAACAGAAGAAGACTCAGCCAGCATTACAGCTTCATCAAGATAATGCATTGGTTGACCAAATCAAAGGCACAAGACAAGGATATTGAAAGGTCAGCACCAATCTATTTTCTGAGATGACATGATTGTTTTGATGCTCATTCCTAGTAAATGTTCTCCAATTAATATTTCTATAAAAATCAGTCAGAAACGAATTTCTCAGGAGCCTTCGAAAGAAAACACACTCGATAATGTCGAGCTTTGCACTGTTTAACTGTATTTCTCAGTCTGCTGGTAAGTAAATATGAGATTAATTTTGGCAGGTCATTGATTTTTTGCTCAGCTTTCCATGCAAGTCTGTAACTACTGTAATCAGCAAAATGAATCTAAGCCTTACCAATGTTTTGGTCAATTTAATATTGTAGTGAGGAGTCAGGTTTAGCTTAGGTAACACGTGACATTCATTCAAATCATGTAAACACCAGCAGCAGACTGACTGTAGAGAGAAGCGTCTCTTGCACAACAAACATGAGGCTGAGGCCTGGTGGGACATTCCACCAAATAATGAGGCCTTTTTCATTGTGAATCAGTGATTTTTATAAGAAGTTTCATATTACAATAAACATTTTATCAGACAAAGAATGTCTTAGTTTTAATAAAGTGCATTATGTAGTGCATCTCACACTACATTTAACATTTTACTATACATTGGAATATTGCAACACCTTTAAAAAAAAAGGGTTGACAGTCATATTTAGCCATTTAGCCATTACTAGCCTTGCGCTCAAGGTCATGACACTACAAGGTGTTTCATAGAAAGACAGTTTAACGCATAATATAAGAATGCAAGACAGTTTAGACAAAACAGAAAGACAGTTTAACGCATAATATTATAATATACTGTATGTATGTGTGTGTATATATATATAGTGTGTTTGTGGAAATGTTTGAAATGTTGTATTTATTTGTCATAAATATTATATTAAACTGCACACACTTATTGAATGTGTGTATGCATATATTCAATAATCTGTCATAAAGAAAATTGTATTCAATTAGAAAAATGTAAAATAAAAGAATCATCACCAGCGGTTTTCGTCAACGCTATATCCATTTAATAAACATTCAAATCAATTTCTGTGTTAATGTAAGTTTTGAATGCATTCAAATATATGCATAAGTATATATGAATATAAGTATGCACATTTTAATATACATGCCTCTCTCTCTCTCTCTCTCTCTCTATATATATATATATAATAGTGTGTGTTTGTGTAAATGTGTGAAATGTTTGTCATACATATTATATTAAAATGCACACACACATATACGTAAAATAAAGAAAATTGTATTTAATTAGAAAAAATGCAAAATAAAAGAATCATCACTAGTGTTTTTTGTCAACACAGTATCTGTTTAATAATCATTAAAATCAATTTCAGTGTATATATAATTTTAAAACATTTATAATATATAACATTATTATTATAGTACATATAGTATATATGTTTTTTTTTTAAATCAAATTATGCATATTTGCTAATACAGCAGGGAGAAGTTGGAAAAAGAATTAAACGTACTATTTTTTTTTAAAACGCCTATAATAATACATAGCAAAAGTTGGGAGTCAGTTTTAATTGTTAAAGTCAGGGTTTACACATTCATCATGAGAGACACGAAAGGCATCTTTTCGTAGAATGACACTGGCTAAAAATGTGCACGAAGCAACTGACAGCAGAATACGAAATCACCGTTTGTTTTTCACAAAGCTACCTCATTTTAATGAATAATTTAGAGTGCCATCATCCTCCAGAGCAAAGCAACACACAACTCTACAACGACAGCCTTAAGCCCGTTATAAACAGTTACATCTGCTATTTATTTTTCTCCCAAATCCATCTGATAGGCACTATGCATGTAAGTAACTGATCGATGATGTTGAGCTGCAGTGGACTTGAAGCTAGTCAAGTCAAAATATTCCATCTTCTGCTGAGGTTTCGTAATGTCTTCATAAAGGACGCAACAGAACAGACAGGTAGGCCAATAAAACACACATCCACCCAGAGAAAGCGCAATATTATCTGACTGACATTATTTGTCCCACTGCATAGATTCACCCACCATTTTCATGCTGTGTTTTCTTACCTTTTGAGAGCTGAAGGACTGAGTCCAGTGGTACAGAACGAGCCTGTCTTTGGAGAATGGCTTGTGTTCTATCGTGGGCTCGTGACTCTCTAGAGAGAGAGGGAGAGAGGGAGGGATAGAGAGGGATGGCTGGAGGGAGGGAGGGAGGGAGAGCGCGGGGGGATTTCAGCACCACGAACAGGGGCATCATCGACACTTTCGAGCCGCTGCTTTACTCTCTGTTACTCCACGATAAATCTATAGGGTTCGTGCAAAATACGGATTCCAACACCAATTTGGCTAACAAAATATCAACGCTTAAATAAATAATACATATCTCTGGACGGTTATCTGCACACATTTTTATATTATACAAATAATATAAAAAAATTGAAACGTGTCCTTCACAGAAGAGGTGTATTCAAGTAATTGTCTGTACGAATAGCTTTTTAATGAATTTTTTAACACACTCACAAGTTTATTACAATATAATGTATTACAATATAATCTCTGGACGTTTACACCATTTAGACATTTAAATATATATATATATATTCAAATAACTTCTTGTAAGTATGGCATTTTAATGAAAAAGTGTATTTATTTTTATTTATATATTATTTAATATAATAATAATAATATTTATATAATTATGGATGGTTACACCATTTAGACATTTATATACTAGAAAGAAAATTAAAACATGCCCATCACAGAAGAGGTGTATTCAAGTCTGTATGAGGGGCTTTTTAATGTACTTTACTACGCATTAATAATAAGACACAATAAATGCATTAAAGATTCAAAATAAACCGACTATGAAACACTTGTCTCAAACGATGTGGTTTGTTCTATTTAATAATAATGGTTTATTAAGATTACATATCACCGAAGCTGGTCACCACATAGGAGCCCGCAGATGGCGCTGTTTCTTTCCACGCACATTTCTCTGCTGTGAGATCAAGCGGAGCTACAGTATGTCAGCATTATCAGCACGGTAAAGATCCAGTGAGTGCAAGCTGGTCTCTGTTCAACAATCACTCAACTAAAACCAAGACAGGATCATTTTACCAGAGAGAAAATAGATTCTTTGGGAAACTGTTAATTTCACTTCAGCTTGAAATAATTTGAGTGTCTAGACTTGTGCCTATTTATTTATAGAGTGAGAGTCAACAAAGCTTGAATTGGCATGTAAACATGTAGGCTATAATTTTTCATAAGCAGCTACTAAAAAGTGATAGGGAAAAAGACAAAATAACAGAAAAATTAACAAGGTTAAAGACATAAAATGGAGAATAAATAAATAAGCAACAGAAATGAATTGCATAATATTCATAAATTTGAATTGCGTTATTAGACATGTCACTCTCCTAAACTTACTTGAACTCCACAAAACCCAAAATGTCAAATCCAGTCTATCCAATCTGTTTACTTGGGCCACTGACTGTTTATTATGATCTATTGGTGTCAGCCAGTGTGGTACATTTACATTTTCTCTCTTTCCCTTTCTCTGTCTTTATTAGCCTACTCTCCAAACATTTGTAAACAGCGCGCCTTGTAAAAAATAATACAGAGATAATACAGAGATAATAGCCTACATAATAACAGCGATGCAACTGCATCAACAAATTCTAGTATCTAAGTTTGAAAATACACACTTAAAAAAACAGACACGGACTCCGCCGACCCCTGATATGGACATTGAGCCCAAACCCTACAAATGATCTGGCAGCGCTTTTAAAAGTGCCTGGCTGCTGAGGGGCGATTGGCCTGTATTTTTGGAACAGTGTTGAGATCTGGTAGCCTTGTTGGGACTGCTAAAACATATCGAGGAGCTCCAAGTGCAGAGGGGATGCAGGGAGAGGGGAGAGGGGAGAGGGGTGAAAGCCATGAAAGACCACTGGCTCGACAATTCGATTAAATAGATCATTGTAAACTGAAACAATATAATGTAACTAAAAAAAAATAAAAAACAATCCTCCCTCTCCCAAGTCATTTCAAATTCAAACTTTAGCACGTTTGTTTCAGTTTAACATATTTAAGGATTTACCTATCAACAAATTATGCGCGTATTCGACGATTCTTGAAGTTTAACGCAAGGAAAGGATCTCCTGTCTCCGTTTTACGCATCTGTGGAGTTTGACAGATGGATTTAACAGAGATTGAGCCGTTCGTTGTTGTTGATTTTTAAAGTCACACCTGAAAGTTTGATAAGTTAGTGGTAATTGCATTAAGCGCGATGAGCGGAGGTCGCTTTGAGTTCGATGATGGCGGAGCTTATTGTGGAGGCTGGGAGGGAGGTAAAGCGCACGGACACGGGATCTGTACCGGACCTAAAGGACAAGGAGAGTTCTCCGGTTCCTGGAACTACGGGTTCGAGGTGGTGGGAGTCTATACTTGGCCGAGTGGAAACACTTACGAGGGGTATTGGTCCCAAGGAAAGCGTCACGGTCTAGGTGTGGAGACCAAGGGACATTGGTTCTACAAGGGAGAGTGGACGCACGGATTTAAAGGCAGATACGGGACGCGCATCAGTCAGGCCAGCGGTGCCAAGTACGAGGGCACTTGGAATAACGGACTGCAGGATGGTTACGGGACGGAGACCTACGCGGATGGCGGTAAGGTCGGAGAATGAACATTTGTGAGTGCAAACTGCACTCTGTGAGCTGACATTTTAAGCCAGGGGTTAGTATGTAACGCAACACTGAGAATCGTTGGTGGAGTTCAAAGTTTCCGTTTCCGTTTCCGATTCCGATTCATCATATCGAGCCTGAAATAGGCTACTAAGAGGAAAAGTGCACTTCTGTATTTGCATTTAGGCTACTCCTCACTCTGTTGCTAGATTAGAAAAATTAGATAGCCTAGGCTAATTCCGGATTTCAAAAACACATGGGATATTAGATATCAGAAATAATTATAATGCAAAAAATAATCCTAACTATAAACAAAAATAGTAGCCTAATACAACGTGGTATTTAGTTTAATTAAAAAACACTGACTGAACGAAAAGTGAGTAAAATGAATTCAGCAATCGCTCAGAATGACTCATAAGTGGATTTGATTCATGAGTAGCGTTTGTTCAGGTGTTCTTCTAACAAATAATGCTATCTATCAGAATATGCTACCAACGCTGTATTTTTATTACTAGTAACGGTAGGTTTAGGGTTGGGGTAATCTGACAGGGTAGTAGGCCTACAAATGGTCAGAACACCGGTATTGGACTACACCGATCGTGCTGTGTGGCTGTGTTTGGAATGGAATCCTAGATTACTGAATACTACACAGTATACACTGCAAAATATCTGCTATTTTATAGTAGGTGAATCTGTGGATATTATACCATAATAAGCATTTCACAGTAGTATGCTACTGTAGGCTACATGTTCAGCAAGAGACATTCAGACGACTTGAACATAAAATATATACATAAAAAATATTCATATCTTGAACATAAAAAGTTGTTTTGCATTTTAACACAATTATGTGAAAATATCTTAACTTTTGATTTAAATAATGAATAAAAATGAGATTTTAAAAAGAATCATATCACTTAGGGTTGTATGCAGAAAATTCACATCCTGTGCATACTGTACAGCAATTTAAAAGTAGGTTCCAACTCTACATAAACAGTACACAGATATCCTTACATGGCTAAACGATTCCCATGAATACATCTCTGAAAATCTAAATAATAATAATAATAATAATAATAATAATAATTCAATTGAATGAACAGTCATTCTTGTTAGTAGTATAAACTTGAGGCTTACAATCACGGAACCCTGGTGTTGCCACAGATGGCCTTTTGGGTAAATGCCTATTGCTAAGAAACATTTGCCAGTGCAGAATGGAGGGTGGTTACAAATTAGTGTCACAAATCCTGTTCTTTCTGGACGTGTGGTGTGAGTACAAATAAAAAGGCTCATTCACTGTTGGCCAAGTCGTTTTTCTTTTGTTGGGTCACATTAGGCTGTTATGTCGACATCTAAGACAGCTTACTGACTTTCCTTTATCTTAATTATTTCAATTTTAGTCCTAAATTGTCAGTTCTGACTACTACATAGTATTATATAACAGCAATTGTCATTATAGATTTATAGATTTACCTTTTGCATGTGCACAATGACCTCAAAGTAACAAAGTATGATTATTAGATGACACAATATAAGATTATACAATATTATAATATAATACTGTACAATATGCAATATATTATATAAGATTTTACTAAATAAATACTTAATATACTGTTCAAAATTATGACAAAATAAGTACTGTACCTATTTAAACACTTTGTACTTATCAAACATTGGTGAAACATATTAATAGTTTTCCACAGGGGGTTTTCCATCATCATAATCTACTTTATTTACTAGAAACCACCTCCAACAAACTGGTTATAAGTATATGCAAATACGGCCCAAACTGTGGTTTAATTTTAGTTGAAATTGGTTTCATTTTTTGTCATTTATTGTAATAAAATTCATACATTTCAAAGTACGACTAAAGGCCTGTTCACTCCAAGAACGATAACTTTAAAGATAGCAATAACTATGTTAGTGTCCACACTACGGCACAATAACGGCCTGTTTAGATAGAACTGCAATTTTGTCGTCTGCCATTTTAAATGCTTGAGTTCTCTAAAGCCGAATGGATTCTGATTGGCTGTCAATGTTTTTATCGTTCATCAGCTAAAAAAATAATCGTTTTGAAAGTGATTCCTATATCATTTCTCTGTGTTGTTATCGTTATAGCCTACGGACTCTACAGTATTCTTCAAAATTTAGAAATTTTTTTAAATCAAAATCTTAATCGTTGGAGCTATCATCCTTGGTGGGAAGAGGCTTTCAGTGTCCAAATATATTTTGGGTTCACTGTTTTTTTGATAGAGAAGGATGAAATTACACAAATTATCATACAGGTGTCTTCCTATATATTGTATCTGTTGAGCTGGTAGCTGAGTCATCACTAAGTGCTAGTGCAGCACTGTGTGAATAAAGGCACAATAATAGTTGCCCTGCCCGTCCCTGAGGACTGATGGATCTCAGACATGTGTTGCATGACTAAACCAGACCCCATGACATAAATAACTGCACGTGTTTTATTACCCCAGAGGTTGATATGAGAGAGACGGCTCGCTAGCAGTTGTACCGCTGTAAATACCATTGTTTCACATGCCTGAAGTGACAATGAGCTTACGGGTGGCCT